AAACAGAGAAATTAAAGTGTTATTTTATTCCTTTTTTCTGTTTCATATAATGTTTTATTTCTACCATTTTCCAGAAACAAATTAACTTCTGATAACTAAGGGCACAATAATAATAAGTAAATTATTAAACTATGTGTTCTAAATTAATTAAACTAATAAGTGTCTCATGACGAAGAGCGTATGTCAGTCATCTCACTGGTGTCCCCTCCCAGTCTTCATGCTGGGAGGAGCTGATGGAAAACTGGACTGCTTCATTCCAGCCATATGGGCTGTTCTGGAACTGACACCCTGTACTTTTCACTTGGCTGAACATTAAACAGCAGACAGTCAGTCCCTCTCTATGCAGAGGCTGCTCTTCAGTTGTCATCTGCTAGTTTTATTGGCTTATTTAAAGGTCTTTTAAACAGTTTCTGTGTGTTTTCCTCATTCAGAAAAGACAAGGAAATGAAAGTCATGTTTTTAATCTATGTTTAGTGTTACCTAACCTGCTGTGAATAATGCAACCTACCATCTGATTGGGCTTTTTGATTATATACCAGACTAAATGATACCGTTTTGAAGATGCTTCTAACAAAGATGTTGATGACAGTGAATGTAACATTTTGCGTTTTTTTGTTTTAACACGGTCGCAGATCAAATGCATTTCAGCTGAATTGGTTGCCCTCAAATTATGTAAATTTGTAACATGCAGAAATATTTTATTTCTCTCTTGAAAGTTGTAGCTAAAACTAAGCTTTGTAAAATAACTTTGTCACTGTGTGCCCTTAGGCCATTTTCACTTTATAATAAAAACAGAGCTGGTTTCCTTTATTTATTTATTTGAATTAGGACAATTCAGATTTATCAACATTAGAGCATAAATGTAAATATGCCAGAATCAGCACAACAGCTAATTTGCATTCACTGTCCTAAGGCAGAACAAAACAGTAACCGTTAAAAAAGACACTACAGGAGAGAACAGAGTGGACACAAACAGATAAGATGACAATAACATAAAATCTAATTAAAATTAGGTTAACAGGCCCAAGGAAACAGATCAATTCGCCTATAAACACATGTCTGGTTTTCAAACTGGTTTCAAGGAGATTTTAAAAGGTTGCCCCTAACATGAGCTGGCAGTGTGTTCCATGACTGTGCTCCTCTGATGGATGCAACCATTTGGCCAAATTTGGTCCTACAACCACTGAACATTACAGTTGAACAGTGTGTAATCATTTCATATTTAAAGTACTTTCAGAAGTTTGAATTCTGAATATGACTCCTTTAACTTAGCCAACAGAACATTATGGTTGATTGTGTCAAAAGCATGTTTCAAATCAAGGAATACAGCTCCCACAAAGCTGCTTTTGTCCAACTACTGTTTTAGATTTTCTAGGAAGTAACAAGTGGCTGTCTCTGGTGATGCTTCCTAAAACCTAACTGCATGGCTTGAGAGCATTTGAGCAATTATTTAGGTATTCCACTAGCTGTTCAATAACCCATTACTCTGAAATTTTTGAGATTATTGGCAAAATACTTATAGTACGATAGTTCTCTGGTTTAGTTTTGTCTCCTGCCTTAAACAATGGCGATCTTCCATGCTGATGGCACTATTCCGTGATAATTGGATTGATTTATCATGTGTGCAAATGGCCTAGCAAGTGCCTCTTTGTTAAGCTTAAGGAAATGACTTGTCCTCATTCATTTGCAATACCTAAAATTCTCCAAAATAAGTTTTCCGCATCTTTGAATCTCTATCCTGGCAATATTTGGGGGTTCATCTGGGATTTGTAATGTGGCTCAACACCAGATACATATATAGTTCAGTTATAAACATGTACTTTCACAGTGTCTCTTAAAGGTCAAAGGTAAATTTGTTTTAACAAAACAGTTAATTCTTTAAGAATAATACATCCACGGAACATCTAGAGTGATGTAGATTAAAGGTGTTCATTTTACTGAAAAGGAAATATAGTATAATTGTTTTATAAATTTTGAGGGGTCCAAAATATATACATATTATTATAAGTGAAACCAAATGAGCCCCATGGATGATGCAGTATTGTTTGATCTAAAACACTGTTTACTCTGAGCTTTTAGTCTTTTACATTGAAAATTATGTTTTTTAATTCACAAAAAACTGTTCTGTAATGATTACAGAACAGATTTTTTGTGAATTAAAAAACATAATTTTTGGTGAAAATACTGGAGTAGGCTTGCTACTTGTCAGACAACGGAAAACTTTGAACGTTGTATAATTTCTCTACTTTAGCAAAGAGTAGCGGTTTAAACGGAGGAAAGTATAGGACGCGGCGCGCCTTTCTCTGAAGAACTACTGAGCGGGAGGAGACAGCCAGGTGAGGAAAAGCTGTTCTTATCTATCGATTCAGTATTTTTATCATACAGACATTAGGCTGTTGTTCTTGTGCTATGAGCTAGCTGCTAGCTAATGACTTTGCTAGCAAAGCAAGATAACTAAAAAGCTTCCCTGTGTCGTTAATGATAGTAGGACATTCTTCAGTATTACTTATGCAAACCTATCATCTCCATAATGGATATATGTCTGATTTTCTAATTTCCTTTGCTGCATGATGTACATTGCATTTATTCTAGCGTTAGGTAAATGTATCTTGAAGGAGAACTCATCCAGAACTACCATGATAGATATATGATAGATATAATGTATGAAGCTGGTGAAAACAAAACTGTGCAGCTTATGCAAGGAGGATTCTTTTGTTGGCAATCGAGAAAGATGTGCCAATCATTCACAGTGAGGTTATTAATATTTTAAGAGACATGGCTAACAGAAAACTGCTGCTGTGAACAAAAGAGAACAAAAATAACAAAAATGCTTAAAAGTTGGAAATTTGTTTTTAAACAGTTAAATCACCATGACGGAAAATAAGTTTTTGGATCATAATCTTGGATTTAGTTTGGGGGAAAAAGAAAGGCAAGAGACTGAAATAAATAAGACATTGACCTTCACTCAACACAGAAAAGATGAGACATTGAGGAAAAAAAGAAAAGAGAAACTGACAAGAAAAAACGAAGAGGAAAGATTGAAGAAAATGTATATAGGTACTTACAAAATACACTAAGACACAAACAGAGTAGGCTTTTGGTGACATGCATTAATAAAATGTTTGTTTTGTTCTTTTTTTCTGCAGTTCCACGTTAAAGTTTGATGCAGCAGCTCTGCTTTTCTGAATGGACCGTCTCCATCTCCACTGTCAGTACAGCAAACCAGGCAGACATTCTTTTTTATAGATTACAGTACACTAAAAGGTTGCATTGTGCCCTTGTATGCATTTTTAACAGTTTAATTCTGTAAAGACAAAATATGTCTGGTGCTCCAGCTCTGATTTACATCTTTGACTAAATTGCAGGTTTGAATATTGTAATACTTTCCTATAACAAAATAGACCTGCAGAAAGAAATTACTAATAAAATATTTTACATATGCATAGTTCTATGTAGAGATTTCCCTTAGCTTTGATTGTATGTCTCACAATTTTGTAATTTATCATTGTTCATTAAACTCTGAAAGCTATGTGACTTTGTTAATATTCTGTCCTAAAATGCGATAAGATGTGCCCTTTTTTTTTTGAGCACCTGCCCCTTTAGTGGTCTCTGCACGGCCCTGATCTTCAGGTTAAGATGCAAACATTGACTTAAATGGATGCTTCACCAGAATGAATAGTAGGTCGAAGACATGTTTCTTTGAGCTAAAGCGTAGTAACAGAGAAATTACTTCTTTTCAGCTTCATGTGTCTTGGACATTTTGATGACAGATGAACAAGGACAGCAGGAATGAGATAATAGCTGTTTGTGTGGAAGAGGATGTTTGCTGTAGAGGAGTGGGAGATGTTGTTAAATACACAATGATGTGAAAAACTTCTAAAACACATCAGAAACAGAGAACTTCACCATTGTTGCCGTTCGTCAGGTGAGGCAGGTTATGTCTGTCAGAATGGAGCTGCTAAGAGGGGCAGATGGCTTCAAACGTTCCCACTCTTGGAGCTGGTTTTAAATCTGGTGCGGGTTGAGTAGACGGGATCTATGTTTCTGACCAAGAAGCCTACTGGATAATTACAAAACCAGACAAGCATGAAAATGGCTAAAATCAGCTTGTTTTTCAGTTGTAATATTTTCTGTTCTACTGTTTATTTTGGTTGTTTATCTTTCAGATCCGCCTTGTTCCAATGTCTCCTGGTGTATCAGGGCTTGTTTTATGTTCAACATGACTTTGTCCTTCAGACCTTTGGCACACCTGGTCTCAGTTTAGCTCCAGTTTTCTGTCACATGTTTTCCATTGAAAGTAATCCCTACAAGATCTGTTTAGATGTTCGTCATCTTCTCCAATTTATCTCTCTCTTCTTGCCTTTTTTGGAGTAATGTTTATATTTTATGTATTTTATTAACATTTCAAGTATTTTGTTAAACTCTCATTTATATACTCTCATTTATGTACGGTAAACCTTTTTTTTGTCATCATATTACCTGAAATTTCATCTTGTAGATTATATCACTAACTTATTAATTACTTCTTTCTTAGAGCGTATGGTCCACTAGTGGTTTCATCTGTTTCATTTAACAAACCTGTAAGAACTGAAGTAAGAAAACTGAACTCAAAGATATTAATTGCTGATTTGGGATGGGATGCTGCGTCAGCTTGGACAGACGTTTCGTTGTCTGTTGCTCGCTCTTTCTTTAGAAAGGTCAGCGCTGCCCAGCTGGTGCTCAGTGTGTGCATCTGTGCTCAGTGCTCTGTGCTCTCACCCTCAGGATGCAATAAATCCTACTGCTGTTTTATTAGCGACTCACCTCCTCCATCAGCCTGGAATCCTGCACATTAACATTCACAGAGCCAGTATGTTGCTTCAGGGACTGGGAGGGATAATATGATGTCATGACTAAAAGCTGAAAAAATCTCACAATACGCATTTACTTCATTAGGATGCTATGAAAGCTTCATTGGAGAATGGCAGAATAATTAGAAAACTCTCTGTTTGTTTCCACAGAAACCATCAGAGCTGGAGTGGTTCTGCACAGCGGTAAGAAAACTTTTATCTTCATGCTTCATCATTTTCTTGAAACCTTTATGCTCATCATAACCACGCTGGTGGAAATCTGTCCTTGGGTTCGATCAGCTGCTGGGATGATGGCTGGTCTTGCTGGGACACAGTTTTTTTCCTCCAGCTAGCTTGTTGCTTTGCAGGTGGAGTCTATTGCTTTCAGCTTGTCAACCCATTGTACCGTTACAGTAAAGCCAAGAGGCCTGTAAGCACTTACCGTCACTCATCCAGCAGGAGGGATGCTTTGGGTTTGGCCCTCTGCCCTTATTTATTTCAGCAGTTCATTTTTAACATTTTTCACTCCAGACTTATAAACTTAAAGACAGCTTCTCACATTTGTTTAGTTGTAGATTTTTTTTTTTTTTTTTTCTGTAAGCTCCTTTTCCAAAACAATGATCTATTCTCAGCAATATGCTGAGAAAGAGAAGCTGCTCCCTCCATAGTCTGATGAAGGCCTTACCCTTTTACTGGTAAATATAAAAACTTTCCCTTTTTAATATGTATTTTGCCAACTTACAACACAAAGAGACATACTTTTCAGGGACGACCAATCAGCTAAAACAATTTGGCTAATCATTGATTTTAATTGTGTTGGTTTATTTAAAATTACCCTTAGCCAGAAGTCTAAACATTTATATATTGAGATAAGGGCTGGATAAATGTATTTTAATAATTCTAAGTAATTTATTAATAAAATAATCATCAACTAATTTAATAATCTAATCAAACTGTTACCTATAGAGGAATGATAAGCAGACTCTAAAATATGCCATTTACAGAAAGTATTTACATGCATATGTTGGTACTGTATCTTTTTTATGTTTTATCTTTTACAGCTCACTTAAAAATGTGCAATAAAGGTTTTTTCTATACTTAAAATATTTCTTGATCTAAAAATGGTCTTTTGCTTAAAGTGTCTTCTGAGATTAATCAATTCAATAAATAAATAATCAATTAATCAAATACTAAAATAAGCAATAGCTGCAACCCTAATTGAGACAAACTACAGCTGTGATTTACATAGAAGGCTCAAACTTTCTGAAATACAATTTAAAAAAGTTACTGAAATTTTAAGTTGACCGACCCATATAAACACAAATCTCTGATCTTTATCTGAGGGAGCAAGGTACGGGGCTAACGGGTAGCATTGACACTGAAAATTTTCAGTGTGGAGGTTGTGACTGAAGAAAATGGACAAAAATATTACTGTTTTCTCTGTTAGTGATGTGTTTATGAAATCTCATGATAGACATAGGGTGTAAAATGTTTCATGAAAGTTTCTGGGTTTTTTTTCCCTCTTGTATGAAGATATATCGGCTGTTCATTCAGATCAAGAGCCAGGTTACAGTGAGCGCTGCTTCTTTTGGAGGTTCTGTTGAAAGCATAGAAGGTCAGAATGAATCCTTAGCTAAGTAAGCCACCCCTGTATCTCATGACAGATGACGGATTTAAGAAAAGAGGAGGGGTGGCCTATTGGTTAGGGCATTGAGCTTGGACTCCAGAGGTTCTTAGTTCAAGCCCCACTCCCACAGACTGCCACTCTTGGTCCCTGAGCAAAGACCCTTAAACCCACACTGCTCCCGGCTACCGCACAATGGCAGCCCACTGCTGTGGTTAAATGCAGAACATTCATTTCGTTGCTCTGTTCTTGTGACAGTGTAATGACAATAAAAGCAGAAAAAAAAGTCAGCATTAGGTAGAGAATGTTGGCTGAGGTGGATATTTGCAGGAGGAAATTTGATTGACAGCACTGTACAAATCAACAACAAACTGACCAATTTATCAATGTGAGAGTCACTTAAATTAGGCCAATATGGGTTAAATTCTCTATGAGCAAAAGCACAAATCTACTTACCATATGGGAGAAAAAAAACACTTACCACAGACATGTTTTCTTCCGTGAACACATGACAGTAGCCATTTACATTGGCCTCTAAACAAGCACACAAAATAAAAAAAAGTCCTTTCCTCTGTCCAACACGTTTAACAGCTGACGGTGTGAAGATACAATAAATAACAGCATCAACATCATGCAGCTTATGGCTTCGATTTGTTAGTTTGCACCGAAGTTGTCACACACAATCCGTCTGCTATTTATAAAGAGCCTTTTATAGACATGTTGCTTCAACAGTCTAAGAAACAAAGTGGTTTGGATATTGTTTTTAATTGGTCCGTTTAGCTTTGCCTTCTATCTGGGGTTAAAAGTGTAGTAGCCCTGAGGAATAGACAATTCTTCTGAGAAACAGAACTCTTTTCCCAATGTCTGTGGCTGGATGTGTTCTTTACTATACAAAGTAATGCCCAGCAGCTTGCCAGCAGTGATCCAGGAATATATTCTAAGTGAGAGTAAAAGAAAAGGTTCATGGCAGTAGCTCCTTTAGTGGTTTTGTCTTGAACAGGGTTGAGCAATTCCAGTTCCTGACGGACGGTATTCTGCAACATTTAGATTATCACTTGGTCCAACACACCTGAATCAAATGGCTGAGCTACCTCCTCAGTATGCAGTCATTTCCTTCAATCATCTCAGTACTTGATTCAGGTGTGTTGAACCAAAGACACATCTAAAAGTTGTAGGATAGTGGCACTCAGGAACTGGATTTGCACACCCCAATCTAAAGATAAGTAGATCAGTGGACTGTCATGTATTCACAGTGGAGGGACCTGTTAAAGGAAATATCTCTAGAGTTGCAAAGTTGGAGATTTGTTCACTGTATTTAACTCATCCTTTACGGAGCAGTGCTGCCAAAAAAAGTAGCACACAGGGAATATTCTGGGACTTTCTTAAAGCCCCAGACCAGCAGTCTTGTGGTCTTTCCAGAATGCAACTGTCCTGCACCCTAACCACTAGGCCACCACTGCCCTAAACCAGTGAAAGACAGGGCCAATTCAATATCTCGAGTTCAGGACAAAGGTAAGATTGTGATCCACCACCGTTTCTAAGCATTTATACCAGCTTAAAATCTCAATAAGTGTGATTCTTGCTTTTTACATTACATTTTAAGAAGTTGTCTCTCAAATTTACAAATTAAACAACTTTTTGCCCATGAATAACTCCATTATTTTATAACAAAAAACTTAAAGTGGCATCGTTGCCAGATATATATATACTTACATATGGTCACTGGTGTAGAAAATGTATGGTAACTGGATAAGGCACATCCTCTGGGTTAACCAGTGGATGACAACAGCTATTAAGACAGGGAGCCCTTTACCCTGACTGCCTGGGGCCTGGTTTGGTTGCTACAGTATTGAAAAAGCAAGCGTGTAATTTCTCTAGGGGGACAGATTCTGCAAAAAAGGCCTTTAACTCTGCTGGTCCAAGTTGCAGGTCACTGAGTGATGCCAACAGACAAACCTGCATGATTATTGTGTAGTGTATAGAATATTCTGCATGAGTGCTCTCAGGTGTGACTCATGTAAATGAAAACGATCGCTAACAGGAGGAAGCTTTTAGCTAAAATCCATATAACAGGTTACAACTTCACACAAAAATTGTGTTGCAAATCCTCCCAAAAACTCTGGTGCCACCCGTGGCTCTCTTCTATGGAAATACATTATAGTGGTGTTAATTTTCGAAAAAAATTTGGCGATACTACATGTATTGCCATAGCTGTGATGATGCGATTTACCAGATGGCAACATATAAAATAACAGGTAAATAATAGAGAACTGACATTTTAAGAGATTACACATTCATTATTTGTTTTATCTTCTGTCCTTTGTTAAAAACTCCTGCCATAGCTGCCTGTAAAACTCGTTGGGGATTCAAAGAAAGAAAACCCAAAGCATGAAGTTTTACTGGAAATAAGCCTTAATAATTTATTTCTTGTCATATATAGAAAATAGAAACGAGATTCAAAGCTTACTTCAAAATGTGCCATAAGCTTTCCTGTCTCACTAATTGTTCATCTGCACACGATGTGTTCTCCCCAATAGGTTTTGTGACAATTATTACGCTCTGGTTGTTTTTTGCTGCTGGCGCAGTGATGATGCTGGTCACCTTTTATCACTTTGAGAGCAGCTTTCTGCTTCCCTCCTTTTTCCTCCTCCTTTAAAGCACCGCTAATGTATCATATATTTTTTTTTTCCTCTTATCTTCTTATTGTGCCTCTTCACACATTCTGTTTTTATTTACTTTGCTGCCGTCTTCCTAGATTCATTCTGCACATTTGCAGTAAGATGCTTTATACAATGTAGTGGACATTGAAAAGGGGGTCCTAGAACCAAATCATACAATAAGCATTCTTGAACTTGGGGCCCCAGGCAGCCACCTACTATACAGGTGCTGGTCATAAAATTAGAATATCATGAAAAAGTAGATTGATTTCAGTAATTCCATTTAAAAAGTGAAACTTGTATATTATATTCATACATTACATACAAACTCATATATTTCAGATGTTTATTTTGTTTAATTTTGATGATTACAAATGACAACAAATGAAAATCTCAAATTCATCATATCAGAAAATTAGAATATTACTGAAGACCAATAAAAACAAAGGATTTATAGAAATGTTGGCCAACTGAAAAGTATGAACATGAAAAGTATGAGCATGTACAGCACTCAGTATTTAGTTGGGCCTCCTTTGGCCTGTATTACTGCAGCAATGCGGCGTGGCATGGAGTCGATCAGTCTGTGGCACTGCTCAGGTGTTATGATAGCCCAGGTTGCTCTAATAGTGGCTTTTAGCTCTTCTGAATTGTTGGGTCTGGTGTATTGCATCTTCTTCTTCACAATACCCCATAGATTTTCTATGGGGTTAAGGTCAGGAGAGTTTGCTGGCCAATTAAGAACAGGGATACCATGGTCCTTCAACCAGGTACTGGTAGCTTTGGCACTGTGTGCAGGTGCCAAGTCCTGTTGGAAAATGAAATCTGCATCTCCAAAAAGTTGGTCAGCTGCAGGAAGCATGAAGTGCTCTAAAACTTCCTGGTATGTGGCTGCGTTGACCCTGGACCTCAGAAAACACAATGGA